TCTCTGATTTGGCTCACAGAGGCACAACCTTACCATGATGCCATTTTTTAGGACACTGTGTCCTCAACAAGGCTCTCACAGTTTGTCCCCTGGAGATTTGCCCTTCTGAATTGAACTGGGGCTAAGAAAGGCTGCAAAAACCCCAAAAAGTGCCCAACCAGAAGAGCTGGAGAGCCTGAAATCTGCAATGTTTAGTTGCTGTGAGGACACTCACGACTGATTTAATAGCATGAGACTCAAAGTGAACTGGTTTATTTTAAGCTCACTGAGACCAAGTTTGCCTGGCTAATGCATCCTGACTTTTAGATTGAAGACTTAAATATCTCAAGACTTTGGACAGATTCTTTGGAGGACACACAGCTTGGAGGAGGAAACCAGATTCAAAAATAATACCTGGAATTGTTTCAATAGTGCTATATCTGATCTTACCAGGACCAGGGCAGCAGCCAAAATGTGGCCATCTGTTTCCGCTCCCCCCTGCCCTCCTGGCTGACTCCAAACCACCCCCCCAGCAGAAAAGGCACTGAGCATCCCACAGAGGAAGGACAATTCAATAAACCTAACCCCAAAAAGGAACACTTCATTTTAGCACAGGAAGCTGTAGTGGTGTGACTCTTCAGAGGCTTTTGAAGCTCTCCCCCACCTTGTCACCTGGAGGTTATTTTTATGTTTGCCTTGTTACAACCACACACCTCTGGAGTCATTTGCTCCCTGCGGAGCATCAGGGTGGTTCAAGAGACCTTTGGGGGTGCTGCCAGGCTGGGATACACGGGAGCCAGCAGGGATTGTGCACCTCCATTCCCTGGGATGAGCATGTGGCAGAGTTTTCACTCCTCTGCTCCCTGCTCCTGACCTGCCAGGACGCTCCCAGGGCCAGCCCTGCTCCTCCAGACCATGAGGAGGGGGATCATGCTTGATCAGACTCAGCTGCTCCAGGGAAATCTGTCCTGCCTCCCATCCTGGCCAGCCTTTTGTCTGGGTAATGTTTCCTTGTGTTTCATCGCAGAGCCTTTTGTTTGTTTAATTTTGCCACTCCAAAGAAAGCTTTGATAGGAGCATCATCCACAGCCCTGGAGGTGGCCACTGTGGCCATGCTGGGCACAGCTAAAGGGGCAAATACCCAGTGAGATTCATCTCACACCAGCTCAAGAAGCAAATACCCAGTGAGATCCATCTCACAGCAGCTCAAGGGGCAAACACTTAGTGAGATTCATCTCACAGCATCTCAAGGGCTGTGCCTGCTGCACACAAGGAAGGAAAGGTTCATGGCAAGAGCTCTCTTGCCAGGACAGCTCTGAGACACAGACCCTGCTCAGACAGAGCCTCTGAGCAGCTGGGCAGTTTTGTCAGGGAGTTTTCTGCTGCCATCCCAAGCCAATCCTCCACCTGCTGCCCCCTCCTCCAGACAAGAGGCAGGAATGGACCTCCGGGATGGTCTTTTCAGGACTGTCACATTAAGCCATCTGTATGGCCACATTGACAGGAGGACCATACTGCAACACAATATGTTGCCTCAGCACAGGAAGCACACTCAGAGCCCCCAGCACTTCAGCTGAGGGGGATTTTTCTGCCTTTTCCCTCAGCCACTGCTGTAAAGCTGAGCTGAGAGGCAGCTCCATCCCCCAACAGGAAGCTGTGTCTCATTAGCAGAGGTAAACAATTCCTCTGAACGTGACGAGTCAGGAGAGCATATTAAATGTGTCAATATCTCAGGGTTTTTTAATCCCTACTCCAGAACAGCTTGTTGTGGCAGGAGAGGGCCCCCCAGAGCCCCAGCACAGCCCAGCTGGCATCTCCCTATCTTTGAGGGGGTTGTGGGGTGCCTTCACTTCTTAACCTCACCCACCCAAGCAAGCCTGAGCACTCCACTGATTTCTCTTGGTCAGTTATCACAGCTGCAAACAAACAAACTAAATAAATAAATAAATAAATAATCCAGCTATTTGCTTTTAAAACACCAACCCAAGCACCCTATTGTGAGTAACCTCCCTGCTGCAGGGCAAGCACCCAGCAGCAAACTAAATAAATTTAAAAGTAAATAAATAGATAAATAAATAAATCAATAATCCAGCTATTTGTTTTTAAAACACCAACCCAAGCACCCTATTGTGAGTAACCTCCCTGCTGCAGGGCAAGCACCCAGCAGCTCCAGTCCCAGCCCTTCCTTCCAGTACACACAGAAGTGGCAAAAGCCACACGTGGCCCAGGCTGAGGCTGTGACAAACCCCAGCATGGCATTTGCAGCTTCACTGCCAGGCAGGGGTGTGCCAGAGCGAGACTGGGTTGAAAGCAGTTTGAGTTTTGACCTGTTTTCTCATGTGCTGCTTTCCCTGGCAGCCTCGTGCACACCAACACAAACACAAGGTGTGCTGCACTTACGGAGTCCCCTCGTGTCCCCAGGGCTGCCTGCCCTGCACAGGAGCCTGGTTCTCACCTACACATCAGCCACTCGCTGCTTTGTTTTCCCCCGTGCTGACAGGGAGCCTCCTGCCTTGTTTGCACTGTGCTGCTCACCTGCTGCTCCAGACACAGAATTATTTGTGTCCTCGGGAGTTTCTCAGGGTTCCTGGGTGCTGTGGCCTCCACTGACTTTGCAAACTGTTGTTTGCCTTCAGTGCACATGTCTGAGCTCTGAGGAGGCACCAAAGGCCCATTTTGCAGACACGGAGTGGAGAAGCTCTAAGTATTTTCCAAGACTTTTGGTTGCCTGGCAGGAGGTGGCAAAGCCCAGATTTTCCAAAGCACGTTGTGTTACTCAGAGGTTTCCACGTTCAAAGCACAGCCCCGCTTTGCACCTGAGAGAATCCTCTTCTACCAGCCAGATCCCCTCCTCTGCTGTGCCAGGGCACCCTAAAAGCAGCTCACAGCACTCAGACTCCAGCAGTTCCCTAGCTCAAAGCCAGCCATGGACACAGGAACAGCCTCTTCCCACCCCTGCAGCAGCCAGAGACACACCCAGCCTGCTCAGATCCAGCCCTGCAGCTCATTTTTTGGAGCCTCCAGGTACCAGTATCAGCTCTCCACACCCAGGCACAGCCCTGGCACTGCAGGAAGTCCCCAGGCTAGGCAGGAACACACTGATCCCCACACACAGCACCTCCCCATGGCTCCCAACCACGCACAGAGCACCCACAAAGCAAAGCACAACACCCAGCTCAGCCTTACCTTGAAAGCTGCTGTGCTCAGGAGAGCCAGACCTCACCTCCAGCAGGCTCCTCACCTCCAGCCAGCAGCTCTGAGCAGCTCCAGCTGCTTTATCACCTCCTCCTCCTCTGCCAGGTGCCTCTGCCTTCCTGAGCAGGGTCCCACAGCAGCAGAGCCCGCTGTCATACCAACCCCTCTCCCTCCCCAATCCTTTGGATTTTGATTCTGAGAGGGAGGCAAAGTGACAGCACAAGAGATGCTTCACATGCAAAAAAAAGGATTTGCCGTGTGTTGCGGAGTTTTTTGTGGTTTGTACCCAGTAGAACACAGCCCTACACAATCCCCACGTGCTCACTCCTCACTCCTGGAGGCAGAGGCTGCAGGGCGGTGATGCTGGGCTTTAACAAACATAAAGGTGAGCAATAAATAATAAATAAATGCATTGGCACAGCTGCCCACCCCCAAAACTTCAACATGACCTTGGCACTGCGTCCTAGTGCAGCTCAGCACACGGGGGTGTGGAGGTTAAAGAGATCTTTTGTCCCTGCAAAACACAGCCTGGCTGTGCACTGGCACTTGTGAGCAAAAAAAATGGGATGGTTGGGTGTTCTCTCCCAGTGCTCAGGCCTGGAGGACATTGTCACCTGGATGGGATGAGCCATCCTTCCCACCCTGTTCCCTGTGGGCAGGAGCACAAATCTCTGCTCTCTCTGCTACTGCTCAGTTCTGTCCCAGCTTGGAGCTGGAGAAATTGGGTTTCCCTCCTCTAGCTGTGCTCAGAGGCACTGGGGGGATGGTGTGTCACAGCTTTTTCAGCCTCAGGAGCCATGAGAGGCAGGGGTGTGCTTGGAGGGTTTTAGCCATTCAGCTCCTCCAAGGCAGCAGGGGTGAGCACAGCTTTCTGTAGGCTTGTAAATCAGCCAAGCTTAAGCCAGGTTTCCCAGAGACCATCTCAGGGAAGGAGCTTTCTATGAAAATTGCCCCGTGCCAAATTGAAAAGCCCTTTCCCAAAGGGCCTTTCAGAGGAAACAGCTCAGCCGTTCTCACAGCTGAGGCAAAGCCACATCTTTCTGCCTTAAATTCACTCTCAGAGACATCATCCTCCAGAGCCAGGCCCTGGCACCCTCCAGCTCAGCCCAGCAGCTAAGGCTTGACACAAGCAGCCAAACCAGTGCCCACACTGCCCATGGCATGCCCAGGCTTTGCTTTCCTCTCTGGTTGATGGGGTCTCTGGGGTCCAGATGACCCCGAGGTGTTAGAGGGTTTTTTTCCCAGCCCCACGACCGAAGAAGAAGCTGAGATGTGTCAGTTCTGCTTTTCAAGGTTGTTTATTTTTCCTTATCTATAACATTCTTTCTCTGACCCGCTGAGGTCTGTCTGGCAGGTCAGTTCATGGCACATTGCCCACCCTTGGGGTGGTGTTAACATTTTATACTAAGAACTACGTGTACTTTATTTACAATAATTTTCCAATACCTCTCACCTATGTTAGACAGTCTCTAAACCAATCCAAAAATGCCACCATCACACAGAAGATGGAGGCTAAGAAGAAGAAGGAGGAAGGACAAGGCACGCCCAAACCCCTCCATCATGTCTCCTGAACCCCCATTCTAAAAACCCCCAAAATTCTGCTTTTTCACCCTGTGACAAACTAACTACCATTCTACTTAAACTCTCGTGGCTTGTACGTCTTCATACAAAGCCGGTAATTTTCTCCATGGGTTAAAATCAAAGGCACAGGTGTCTTTGACTCCGTGCCAAGGTCTCTGAGCCCCCTGCCAGGGGCTCGAGCCATCCAGGGCAGCCAGAGGAGTGTCCTGGCTTCCGACATCTGGTGACCGCTGTTGTCATTCCAGGAGAACCCGTACCTGTGCAGCGACGAGTGCGACGCCTCCAACCCCGACCTGGCCCACCCGCCCAAGCTGATGTTCGACAGCGAGGACGAGGGGCTGGCCACTTACTGGCAGAGCGTGACGTGGCGCCGGTACCCGGAGCCGCTGCTGGCCAACATCACCCTGTCCTGGAACAAGAGCATCGAGCTGACCGACGACATCGTCATCACCTTCGAGTACGGGCGCCCCACCATCATGATGCTGGAGAAGTCTCTGGACAACGGGAGGACTTGGCACCCGTACCAGTATTACGCAGATGACTGCATGGAGGCCTTCAGCATGCCAGCACGGAGGGTCCGGGACCTCTCCACCACCAGTGCCAACAGGGTCCTCTGCACGGAGGAGTATTCCCGCTGGGCGGGCTCCAAAAAAGAGAAAACCGTCCGGTTTGAGGTGCGGGACCGCTTCGCCATCTTCGCTGGCCCCGACCTCAAGAACATGGACAACTTGTACACGCGGCTGGAGAGCGCCAAAGGGCTCAAGGACTTCTTCACCGTGACCGACCTGCGCATGAGGCTGCTGAGGCCCGCCCTGGGGGGCACCTACGTGCAGAGGGAGAACCTGTACAAGTACTTCTACGCCGTCTCCAACATCGAAGTCACCGGCAGGTAACGGCGGCTGTGTTTCTTTGTCTCTTCTCGGAGGGATGAGAAGAGGGTTCTTGCTGGAAAACTGAGCCATCAGCGTTTCTGCCACCTGAGACATAACCATTTCTCCCTCTAACAGCCCTTCCCCCCAGGCAGGGCAGCAGATGTGTCCTTGCAGGGAGTGGCTGGGGCACCTCCAAGGCTGTGTCCTCCTGCAGCTGGTGCTGGGGGAGCTGGGACATGGCTTGGATGGACACTCAGGGTCTGAGTTCCCTCCAGTCCCCTGTCCCAGCTGTGCAAACACAGCCAGCCTTTGCCCAGATGTCTCAGGGGTGATGCTGGTGGATATGGGGAGTGGAATGAGGCTCACCCCACTGAGCTCCAGCTCCCTGCCAGTACAAGCAGGGTGGGTGATCCCCAGTCAGTCCTGCACACCCTGAGCAGCCCCAGCCCTGGCAGATGAAGTTTGGGGTAAGGTTAAACCCCCTGACAGATCTGGGGCAGAGGAAGCATGAGGGGGTTTGTTTCTCCTGGGATTTGTTTTTCATTTCTCTATACGATGCCATATGTTACGTTATGACATCAGCCGAAAAAGCAAAGTAAGGTGGAAAAGTGCCGAGATGGCTGATTTCCCATCCAGCTTGTGAGAGACTTACAGGCAAGAGGGGGAAAAATCTCCCCATCACCCACCCCATGCTAACAAGCATCACCACAGCGACAGAGGAGCCGTTTGTATCGCTTCCAAATGGTTTGCTTCTGAGACTTGCAAGTAGAAATGTTTGCAGGTGCCACCGAGGCTGGCTTTGAACAGGCTCCAAGGGGAAGGAAGCTGCAGTGAGGGATGGGAGAGCCCTTTCCACCTGCCAGGGCAGGCAGGAGGCAGCAGTGAGAGTCTTTCTCACAAGCAGCTGTGGCTCTCAGCTGGGCTGGGGGCATTTTTGGGTGCCCACGGTGGGGATTGCTCAGGGAGGAGCCCTGGGGGGGCTCAGGCATGTGGGATGGGGAGTGGGAGAGCACCTCCACATGTGTGTGGTAAATTAGGACTGAATGTTTGATGTCAGTGCTTGTGCAATGAGCTTTGGCTTCCAAGATCAGCACGGACAACCAAGGACTTGTTACTGCTTCTACAGCAGCCTGGGGATGCTTGATGCTTCAAAGAGTTAAAATGCCCTTGGTGTCCCGTGAACACCTTCCTCCTCTGAGCCATGCACCTTTCCTGCCTGCCTTGGGCAGGATTTATTGCTTCAAATACTTTGATTTGAAGGAGGATTTGTTGCTTCAGTACTTTGGACTTGAGGCCACGCTGGTGGGATTCTCCCCAAACCAGCACTTTGCTCTCAGTTGTCCTCCTCCCCCCTCCCCAGCCCCCCATCAGCTTTTGAATTCACTGGCCAAATTTAATATAATTTAATAGCAACAGAGGTTGGTTCAAGACAGCAAATCCCTAAAAATTCTGTGAAAAGAGGCAGCTAGGGAAGGGGATGAAAACCCCTTTCAAACACACCCAGGGCTGGAGCAGTCACAACCTCTGCGAGACATCCAAAATTCCAGCCCGAGGGCGGCTGGGTGCGGGGATGGCCGGGCTGCGAGCGCCCCGGGGAAGCTGCAATGCTGCTTTTTAGCCGGGGCCAAGGCGAGACAGGTTGGGGTTTGTTGGCCGATCCCCGCCGGCCTCTCCCGGCGCTGGCGCCGTGCCGCCGTGGCCGCCTGCCCGCGGCTGCTGCAGCGCAGCGGCTCCGGCTCCGCTCCTGGCTCCGCTCCCCAAAAACTGCCCGACCGCATCCTCCTGGGCACACCCTGAGCGCATCCTGCAGGGCCGCAGGGAGGAGAGGGCTTTTCCTTGGCTGGGAGCAGGGGAAACGCTGAAATGTGCTTTTATCAGCTCAAAGTCCGAGTTGTGAGCTACAGTGAGATGCTGCTTTGCGCTGCTCCGGCTTGCTGGGCTGGCTCCCAGGAGAGAGGGACACTCGTGCTGGACAGGGACGAGGGCAGTGCCTGTCCTCTGCTGACTTTTCCAGCCCCCACGGGTGCAGGGCAGGGAAGGTGAGCAGCTGAGGAGCTGTGGATAAGTGCTGTATAAGATGGAGAAGCTCCCTGTGAATTTACTCTGCTCCTGTGATTATTCCAGTCCCAGCAAGCAGGTTTTTGCACTGAAAAGCAATCTAATTCCAGCTGTAAGCAAAGCCAGTTACAGTGCAGGGACTAAAACCAAATTAAATCTAGTGTATGGCTCAACAAGGGATGGGTTATTGAGAAGAAGAGAAGAGAAATCAATGTGAGCCTGACAGGAACACTGTGCAGGGAAGGGGGGAGGCAGGGTGGGCAGGGATGGGGATGGACACACACAGCCCCTTCCAGGACATGTTGGAGGAACAGCAGGAAAGTGCCTAGATAAAAGTAGGGTGGTGGTAGGGATCCACTACAGGGGGCATGGAAACAAGAAGGAAGATGATTGTGAAGAAATGAAGGGTCAAGGGCAAAACACAGCCAGAAAATTCCACCTGGAGAGCAGAGTGAGCAGCCCCGAGAGGCTGAAGGAGCCGTGCCTGGCCACAGTGTGTGCCCTCAGAGTGTGGCAGTGCCTGTGTCCCTGTACCACACCAGGATTTTGGCAGTGCCCACGGGGTGATGAGGCACTTGGCAGCTCATTTCCGGTTGACATTCATGCTCAAGGGAAGAGAAAACTCTTTATCCTCAGAGCAGACCATGAGCTCAGGTGGTTTCTTGTGCTGCTGCCTTCCCTGGTGGGTTCAGAACTTTCTGCGATCCTCTCAGTCCATGCACTCATGGCCCCCATCCAAGCACACCCTATCCTTCACACCAAGGAAAACTCCTCACCATGATCTCCCAGAGATTTTGGGAAAAGCAGAAAGAGAACAAATGACATGGGGACAAGGGGAAAGGGTTTTCTGCCTGCTCTTGTCCTGTAGGCCAGAGCATCTGGTGAATCCTGGGGGTCACTGCTTCATTCCTGGGCGTGGGGACAGTGGGCTGCTCCCTCAGGGTCTCCTCTGCATCTCCTCCTCCCACAGCCTCAGCCAGCTCCATCTCTCCGTGCATGGCTGACAATTTATTTTTACTCTCTTTCTTCTTGCTATCTTTTTTCTTTTCTTATTTTTCCCCGCTTTCTTCTTCCATCCTGTCCCTATTGATCTGCAGAGTAACTGGAGATGCAGAAGAGCCAGGACAGGAATAGACACAAGCAAGCCCTTAGTCTGTGTGCTGTGTATGTGCCAGGCAGGGTGGGGAAGGGAAGTGGAAGGATTTTTCCCCACAGATCTCTCTATTCACTCCTTAATTTTCTCCTCGGTGCAGCAGCGAGCTCAGGCACGGGTGAATGAGCTTTCCCTGGCTGGCAGGGCTGTGGTGAGAGCCACTGGTTCTGCTTCCATTGCACACTGGGTCTCTCTGGAGTAATTTCCTCGCCTTCAGAGCGTCAGTCAGTGCCGTGCTCAGCAGGGCACGCTCCATCACGGAGACATTAATAAGCTGTAATTGAAGTTAATGTGCCATGGCCAGGACATGTGGATCCAGTTAGGAGGAATCAGATTGAGCAGAAGTGAATCAATTTTAGGCTGGTTATTAGGATTTCTCCCCTCTGTCCTGCCCTGCCCCAGTGCATGCACTGTCTGTCTGTCTGTCTGTCCATCCTGCAGTGATGAGCAGTCTCTGGAGGAAGGCAGGAGGAGGGAGCACCCCTCATCACTGGAACAGAGCCTCCTCTTGAGCTGTGCTCAGGCCAAAGAGGCACCAGCAAGATGAGGTTTCTTGTTTTGAAGTGGCATTTCCTTTCCTCACTTCACCAATTGCTCTTCTTAGGCTTTCCTTGGCCTTCCTTGGCTGCTGCTTTGCTCACACAAAAAAAAAAAAAAAATTAAGGAAAAGGCCCTTTGTGCTCTCCTGCTTCTTTCCCTGGTGTGTTCTCAGTGCAGTCTCATGCATGGATGCTCTCCAGGAGGATTTTCTCTCCACATGACTTGGACAGTTTGTGCTGGTGGAGCAGAACAGCTTTGGCCAGCCTGTTATCCTGGTGCCAACAGGATCAGGCACTCCAGACCTGGAGGCCACCCCCAAAAGCACCTCCTGCAATAAAAGGAGCTGGAAATGGTCAGTGGTACCCACATGCAGGGGATGTATTTTTCTGCATTTGTGGTGAGTTTTGAGATGTGGAGAAGGTTGATGCTGCATTGCTGCTAAAGATGAATGAATTCCTGGTCACTGCCTCCTTCTCTCAATGAAGGCAGCTCAGTGCACTTCCCCTGTGGCTGTAGCTCAGCTCTAACCAGGGGTGCCAGCACAAAGCACATCCCCACTGCCCCTGAGCTGCTTAGCCCTGGCTGGACATTCCTTCTTCTGGCTCTGGTGTGGGAGACCTTCCAGCTAATCCTGAATTCTCCAGCAAAGCTGTCTTTAAATTGGAGAAAAGGTTTGGTCTGTGGAAGAGTCTCTTGTTGAGGGTCTCAGATTTTGTGTGGTGGCTGGTGAACATCTCTCCCTGAGGAGCAGGGTGGGGCCTGCAGCAAAGGGGAAAAGGCAGGACCTGGGGTGAATGATCTGTGAGAGCAGGGGCTTCCCCAGCTGAGCTGGGGCATCACTCCAAAACAGCCAGGGGCTCACCCAAACGTCCCTCAAGAACAAACCAAACACCTCTGCAGCCCTCAGCCAGCATTTGGCAGCTTTGGGATGACCACGAAAACCAGGGCAAGCACTGCCTGTGCCCGTCCCTGCTCCTTCCCCTGCAGCTCCTGGCAGACAGAACTCGGGTCCCAGGAGGCAGCAGCATCCTCGTGTCAAGGACAGCCACGTCTGTGCCAGCGCAGCGCCGTGCTCCTCGGCCCGTCCTCGCCTCCATGCTGGGCAGCCCCCAGAGCTGGATGGCTGAGCTTCCCTGGCATTCCTCCAGGCTGGATTTAGCTTGAGTTCCAGCAAAAACTTGCTCTTGGTCGTAGAGTTAAATTAAGTTAATGTGCAGCAATTGTTTGCTGGAGTCCTGCAAAGGTTTCGACTCCCACTGCAGCAAG